CCTTAATTCTTATAATTCTCTTATAATTAAAGGAATTGAATAAATTGATTAAGTTCGCGTTAGAAGCCATCGCTTTCCCTATCTATTTCACACTGTTTTATATAAAAGTTTAATAACTTATTTATATTAAATCTAAATGTTCTATTGATGTTATTTACATGCAATTTTTTATAATTTATTTTCCTAATTTAATCACACAAGCGAGCTGATTTTTTTCACCTCTGGATTTATTCCATCCCAATGAAAAAACAGTGGATTTGTTTATATCTTTTTATTATTATTTTTTTAAATTACTTAAAAAATCTTTAGGAATATTTTGTATACAAGAGGCAAATATAAGGCAAAAAAACTCTTTTGACTACAGGCGACAAATATTGAAAAACAACAACAACATGTACACACCAAAAAGATCGATTAAGATGACCATAGAATTTTGATAAAAGCTAAAGACCGATGGGCGCCCAAAAATATGCTTCAATGGACAGACATTACATCTTGGGACACAAGCGGTATTGATTCAGGGTCATCAAGGCCATACAAATGGACCACATTGCACAAGACAAAAAACAAAACAAGTGGATAGGGAAAGGGGGAACACACATAAGCTTGCGGGAAATATACGGAACAAAGGGGGAAAGAACAAATATCGGACACACGCGCTATTGATTTCAGGGGCCAATAAACTTTCAGTGTCATCAAGGTCATACAAATGGACCACATTGGGGAAAGACGAAAGAAAATATTGAACAGACGGACGGCATAAAACAATAAGAGGGAAAGAGATAGAACACAATATGATCACACAAGAGGAAAAGAGAAGTATGAGTCATCAATACAGATTAAGGACGTCATTACCAAAAGTAATTAGTGAGAGAAAACGTGCATCCAACAGATACTCAAATTGTTAATGTTTTGATGATGTTTCGGCTAAAGGTCAATGAAAAACTTTTGTTTATGTTTTACTTAGTTTTTATTCTTCCAATATTTCGATTGACAATCATCATAAGGGATCTGTTACAAAATAAACAATTGGTTACAAATTGAAACACGAAAATTATAAAACACACAGGCTCGTTGCGCCATAGTAAATAAACTTCTCGTCTGAGCATCGAATTTTTCCTAAAAAAATGCAATATCATATAAAGTTGCAGGTGGCTGCAGATCATTTGGACATTTTATAATCACAAGATGGCATAGTAATTAAAAAAAAACACACACACACACATTCTTGTGTTTGACAGCTCACAACTGTTCAACTAGATCGTATCAATCAGAATAGAATCGATATATTAGATAAGTGGGATAGTAGTAATCGAAAGAGACACACTTTTAACGCAATCAAAAACTTTGCAAAAAGGACCCTAGATCGTCCATTCCGCCCACAGTGCCATGGTGTGCGTCCGTTGAATGGACGGGAGGGAACATGTTGCTGGCTAGCATCTACTGCCAATCCAGCTCACCTTCGGAGCCATATTTAAGGTATATGTATACAGTACTACTCCTCGAGAGTAGTTGTCCGCTAATCCTAAGGCTAGATGCGAACGCAACCTCCTCGCTTGGTCGCATCCGAGGAAAAGCGCTTAGTGGATGGGTGTTAGCAAGGGGCGTCGAGATCTTAAATGAGCCCTCGGATCTGTATACCTTTGATGGTCCCTCCGGGGTGAGTGACATAGACGTGACGGCTGCAAATGGGGCAGCAATGACAGCTTACCAGTTTAGCTGGAGTATTTGCGAAGACTGGGGTGTGAGTGACCATAACCTCATTGAGACGTACGTAGGGAACTGAGCGTTTCAGGGGTTGGAAGGAACGAGATGTGAACTGAGACCATTATGCGTACTGTGTCCGGGAGTTTGCTTTAGGACTTTAGGGCACGGACCAGAGATGACCAGGTCAGCTTGTTGAATGTGTGGATGAGCACCGTCAATGACGTACTCCTCGGTAGACGCCGTCAGGCTAAACCGAGTAAGGTCAAATGGTGGACCCGCGAGCTAACTACTATGCGGCGGCAAGTCATGTAGAAAGACGAGCTGTCTAGGAGTAAAGAAGACAATTGGAGGAGATTTGAACGGGACAATGGACATGATCCATGGGGTATAGTATACCGTGTGCCGGCATGGTGGGTCTAAGAGACAGGTTGACCTACAGGGGTTGCGTAGCAGCTCTGCGACAACCACCTCGGGGTGGGGCGAGAGCGTAGGGCTTTTGTTGGGAACATTCTTTCCGGATTCGGAAACTCCATCATTTCCTCCGTTTGTTGAAGAAATGAGGGAGCCTCCGGGTTTGGATCGTATAGAAATTGTGGACAGTATCTGCCGGGTTAGAAGTAGAAAATCGCCATGTATGGATGGTATGACTGGAAGGATGGTGAAAACCATCTGGAAGGTTATGCCGGAATATATCGAGTCCGTTTTCTCTAGCTGCATTCGTCATGGATACTTCCCGCGTACTTGGAAGTGTGCCCGAGTTATGGTCTTACTTAAGTCGCCCGATCGTGTTAGGAGTGATCCTCGCTCATATCGGGACATAAGTCTTCTTCCAGTGCTTGAAAAAGTGCTGGAGAGGATTATGATGGCACGGCTTCAGGATTGCTATAGCGAAGGTACGTCATTGTACCAGTTCGGTTTTACCGAGGGTAGATGTACTATTCGTGTACTCGGGATAACGGTGTCAGAGCGTTTGAATTTTCTTCCACACTTCGATCGGTTGAAGGAGAAGCTGACAACGGTCGTTGGGACCATTAGGCGTATTTTGCGGATTGGGGCTTGAGTAGGCGTTCTGTGCGTATCATATATGGTGGGCTTTTTGTTGCCTGCGCAACTTATGGTGCACCTATGTGGTACAGAACTGCCTCGTCTGTCTTTGGGTCCTTTCGTGTTAGCGTGCTTGCCAGTGTGTCTCACTGTTTCCACAGAGGCGTTGCAAGTGCTGTTTGGCGCCGCGCCGCTTGATCTTGAAGTGAGATGTAGGGCTATCATGTATAAGGTTATGCGTGGCTTACAGTTGGATGCGGATGATTGGCTCAGGCCTTCTGATTTGGTGGATGGGGTGAGTAGGCGGTACAGCACTATCCCTCGGGACTGTGTTGTTGACAGGTGGAGGACAAGGTGGACGAACAGTGACAAAGGGAGGGTGGCGTACGAATTAATTCGTGACGCAACGTTCGTAGTGGACCGGCCAGACTTTCGCTTCGGCATAATTACTGGTTTCTTACTGACGGGTCACGGTTATCTCAATGCGTTCCTGCATAAAAGAGGCCTGTCCCAGATGGATTTATGTGGGTGCGGGATGACTGAGGACTGGAGTCATATACTGACGGAATGCCGTTACTGTGATATTTCAGTAGAGCTCTTGAAGACCATCGGACCTTTACTTGTTTAAGTAGTTTTGCTCGTGAAGCATTTAGGAGAAGGACAGTACTTAGTGGAGGTGGTCCTCGAGCGTAGCCCTCTTGCAGGTGGGCTCAGTCGGGTGTTGGTGCGGATGTTGGCGACGGTTGGTGGTGGCGTGCTGCCTGCGGCTGTTTTGCATCGTGGTGGTGGCGGAGGCTTTCCGTACCGCGGGTGTGAGGTGCCCCTGGATCTGTTGATCCAGCCTGACAGTTGGTGTGGCCCCCTGGGAGCTTCTCGGGGTTGTGGTTTCGCCCCTTACCAAGGGGGAGAGTATGCCTTCTACATGCTCTCCGATTGGTACAGCACTTCGGTGCTTGTGCGCTGATGGGCGGATATCCGCCTGTGGCTCAGCGACTGTGAGGAAGGTCAATAGGAAGGTACTCACACAAAAAATTCAAGATACTGTCACTTTAGACCATAGTAGCATATGTTAACCAACACTATTCTCCTCCGAATAGCCAATCTGATGTAATTAGTTTTGTTTATGGCGGTACTGTTATAACCCAAACCAAAATGCCTTTCCAAGACTTGGCAATATATTCATATTACAATTATCGTACCATATGTCATTTAAAAAAAAGCCACACCCTTCTTGCAAATCACACAATCGATCGTATTTCAAATCATACGATCGAATCAAAAGACCAGTAGAATAATCATATTACAATAATCATACGAGGTATCTAAAATTAAAGTAAACAATTATGTATATTGCACTTATATTCACAAATAAAGATTCAGTTCTATTCTAGCAGCAAACTTTAATTAACGTTTTATATTGTTACGCGAGTTTCGCTAAAGGAAGAAGGATTAAAATTGGCGCAGTCGGTAGGATTACCAATATCGTTTGGTAGTCCGTGAAACAAAATTCTACGTAAAAGGATAAGTCCTTCGTAACAGGACAAAATAATAAAGTGGAAATCCTATGTAAAAGGATAAGTCCTCCGGAAAGGGACAATAAACTTAGTGATTAAAGAAACATTTTAGTGAATAGTAAATAAGAAACAAGTTAACAAAATTACGTTAAAAAAAGAGAATTAAAATACAATATAAATAAAATCAAAGAACATTTAATTAGGAAAAGTTAAAAGTGGACATCACATCCTAATAAGAGAGAAATAAATTTTTTAAAGTTAACAAATTGTTAAAAATATAAGAAAGCAAATAATTACAATATACGAAATAATTACGAAACTTAAAAAGTGAAAGTGGTAAAACATTAGAAGAAAACTTTAAAACATTGAAAGACTTACAAATAGCCAAAAAAAGCAACGAAGTGAAATTTGGAACATTAATAAGATTATAAAAAATTCAAACAAAATGAATAACACAAATCAACCAGCCCTGAACCCAGCGCAAAACAACATACAATTACGTACGCTAGACAGCAATCCCCTTACATATATTGAAAAATTAAGGGAATTTGATGGGAAGAAGGAAGACCTCACAACATTCATAACAAATGTAGATGACATAATTCCTACATTAATGTTATACAACAAACAAGCTCAAAGAATGTGTATGAACATCGTAAAATCAAAACTAACTGGAAAAGCCAGAAAAGCAATGGAGGTTCATCCCCATTTGACCCTTTGGACTGACATAAAAGCGACTTTGGTGGCTTTGCCACTGTGGACCAATTATATCAGGAACTGAGAGCAGCGCAGTATAAAGGAGATACTATGGATTTCTACAACCACATCCAACACAAACTAGCAATTCTTAACCAAAATTGTGGTCAGGAGAATCGATTGGATGAAGTGGATAGGAATATCCAAACTGGTCTGAAGACTTTTATAACACGTCTTCCAATCCATATGAGGACTGTATTATGCGCATTAAAACCAGAAAGTAAGGAGGAAGCTTTGCATGAATTGAGCTCTGCGGGATTCCTGAACAACGAAAAGAAGCAGGACAAACCACAATCAAGTCCACAACAGCAACAACAGAATGGGCAACCAAAAATAATGCAGCCACATTACCACCAACAACAACATTGGCAACCAAAAATAATGCAGCCACATTACCATCAACAGCAACATTGGCAACCAAGGATAATGCAGCCACATTACCAACAACAACATTGGCAGCCGAGAATTGCACAACCAAATTTCCAGCAACAAGGATCGCAACAACCTTACTACAAGCCTCAGCAACCACAAATCAGACAACAGCCTCCAACATCATATCAACAAAAGCATGAATCAATGGATGTTGATGCATCTCAACAATCAAAAAGGCAGACACACCTCCAGGAGCAGAAATCATGTAAGAATTTAGAAAGTATTAACAATAAAATAGATATAAGCGAAATGTATCAAGATGATTTGTATCAAGACAATGTATATCAGGATAATAAAGAAGATCAATACAGTTCTGAGTATGAGTATATCATACTCAAAGGAAGATGAAGGAAAACAAGATTATTAATTGACACGGGTTCCACAGATAATCTAATATATAAAGATCATTGTCCCCCACAATATATAAAAAATTCTCACACTGCAATATACATTAAAACTGCAGCAGGTGTCATTACGGTTGACCGCAATGCCCATTTTCCAAAAAATTCTATTAAGATTCCCCTTAATTCAGGTACAACATTTAGGGTGTATACCTTTCACAAATTCTTCGATGGAATATTAGGCAACCAAACATTACAAGAAAATTGTTTGTAATTGATTATAGAAAAAAAAAGTAGTAAGTATTAACGGTCAAAAGTTCAGGATATATTTTGAAGGAGATTCTGAAGATGACGAATTTTCACCACAAACATTGCCAGAACTCCATCATATTAACATACAAGGAATTACGGAGCAGCTAAGGACAGACCATCTAAATACAGGAGAAATATCAGAGATCCAAAGATTAATAACTAAATATGAAAATGTCTTTTACCATCCGGGAGATGATCTGACCTTTACCGATGAGATAAAGCACAAGATAGAAACAGGAGACAATGGCCCTGTATATACGAAATCATATAGGTATCCAGCAATACATACTGAAGAGGTAGATCGACAAATGAATGAAATGCTAGAGCAAGCTATAATAAAGCATAGTTCATCTCCAAATAATTCTCCTATCTGGGTAGTACCCAAGAAGGAAGATAAAGTAGGAAACAAGGAATGGAGAATTTTTATAGACTATAGGGAATTGAATGCTATCACTGAAGATGATAGATATCCAATACCAGTAATTGCCGACATACTAGATAAACTAGGTCGAGCTAACTATTTCACAACATTGGACATAACAAAGGGATTTTATCAGATTGAGGTAGATCCAAAAGATAGGGAAAAAACAGCATTCTCTACAACAAATGGACATTATGAATTTATAAGAATGCCATTCGGTCTGAAGAATGCTCCGGTAACTTTTCAGCGAATGATGAACAACGTGCTCAGAGAGCATATAAACAGGATATGTGTGGTATACATGGATGATATTTTAGCATTTTCGACTTCATTACAGGAGCATATGGAAAACTTGGGAAATGTTTTGGAAACTTAAACTCCTTAAATAAATCAGACTTTTTGAAAAAAAGAGACTGAATTTTTAGGACATGTAGTGACTAATAATGGGATAAAACCAAACCCGAATAAAATAATATGTATTAAGGAGTTCCCCATACCAAAAATGTTAAGGAAATACAAAGTTTTCTGGGATTAACGTGTTACTGCAGAAAGTTTATCCAAGTTATGCAAAAATTGCAAAACCCTTGACCATGAGACTTAAAAAAGATGCAATAATTAATACTAAAGATACTGACTATGTACAAGCATTTAAGAAGTTACAACAGATTCTGATGTCCGATATGGTTCTTCAATACCCGGCATTTGAAAATAATTTTACTCTAACTACCGATGCTAGTAATTTTGCATTAGGAGCCGTCCTGTCACAAACCAATGGACCAATAGCATTTGCTTCACGCACTTTAAACCGTCATGAGATTAATTATTCCACGGTTAAAAAAGAGTTACTTGCAATTGTTTTTGCAGTTAAGCAATTCAGACATTATATTTACGGTAGGAAATTCGAGCTAAGAACCGAACATAAACCCCTTATATGGCTGGCAAATCTTAAGGACCCTAATTCCAAACTAATCCGTTGGAAAATAAGGTTAAATGAATACGAATTTGACATCAAACATGTAGAAGGAAAGGATAATAAAGTAGCTGATGCTCTCTCAAGAATTAGAGAAGTTAACGCAATCACAGTTAAAAGAAAACATAAATGTGAGATATGTAATAAAATGTTTAGTAGGAAGAATCTGCTTAGGAAACATTTAGATGAACATTTAAAGAAAAGACCACCTTCACCTACTTCTACAATACACAGTGCTGACGAAGATGACAATAATTTCTTTAAGATATCAGAGAAACCTCTTCAGCTCTACAAGAACCAATAAAAATTGACAATTCCAAGGACAATAAGACGACACATGAACGGATATTTGATAGAAATAGGAAAATATACGCTTATGAAACATTCGACGATGAATTAATATCACGAATATTGAATGAAGCCATGGAAAATAATCTTTCAGCATTGTATTGTGAGGATACGGAAATTTTATTGAAATTACAGGAAAAATATAAAACCACAAAAGATAATCCTTTAAATACAAAACAATTTGAAATCATATTAACAACTATATTTCTGGAAGATGTTAGATACGAAGAACTCCTAGAAATCATAAATAGACACCACCGATTTGAAAACAATCATCCAGGAATAGATAAAACATATATCGAATTAAACAGAAAATACTATTATCCGAATATGAAAAAGGAAATTGTTAAAATTATAAATAACTGCGTTATATGTAATTTCAAAATAGAAAGAAACCCTGTCAAATTACCATTCGAGAAAACGGAAACACCACATGGACCTTATGTTCATTACCACTTGGATATTTGGTATCTTAATAACCAAATATTTTATTTGGCCATGATTGACAAATTTACAAAATATGCAGCTATGGAAGAATTATCTGACAAAACACCATTACAGGCTATAAAAGCTGTAAATAAATTGTTTTTCATCATGAAGAAACCCCAAAAGATTACTATTTATAATGACCCAACGTTTTCTAATCCAGTATTTACGGGACACCTTGAAGATAATGATATTCAGTATCACTTTACAACACCTCATAGACATATTGGTAATTCGGACATTGAACGTTTTCATAGCAGTTTAAATGAGAATATATAAAGATTAGGGAGGAAAATAATGATGTAGCATACAACTATGATTTACCTTTGCAGGCATACAACAATAGCTTACATCTTTCTACGAAACAGAAACCCATTGACCTTAATTTGTATAACTCAGATATTCAAGTGGAAAAAGTTTATAATGAAATTGAAACAGCAAAAGAAAAGATGTTAAAATACAGAAATAAAGAAAGGATGAAGATATTAATCCTAAATTTGGAAGAACAGCAATCCCTCATAAGACAGAGACTAAAATAAAACAATTGACTACACGGAAAATTAATGACAAGAAATATAAATTAGATAACCGCAATACAATACTTCATAAAGACCAGTTCATTAAAAGGAAATGTCTTTCCAGGTCTCTGGAAGTCCTTGCTGGCGATTTTCTTGATGATATCCCCAGTGGTAGCGCAGAAGCTCGAGGTAGTCGATTTGAATGAAGGCAACGGATATGCAACTTAATGACAAAATGTTAATAGATGACTATATTAAAATTCTTCACATATTTAACACCACAAAATATATGAATTTTTTAAATGAATTGGGAGAGGAAGTTTAGCGTATTAATGATTTATTTTTATCGCATGAAATCGAGCACATAACTTAACGACTTAAAAGTATTATTCCCCATCAAGCTAGAAGTAGAAGAAGTTTAATTAATCTTTTTGGAACAGGATTAAAATATCTATATGGTACAATGGATAATAATGATAGAGAAGAGATTGCAGGACAACTGCAAAAATTGGAGAAGAATGAACATAATATAATAACGCAAACTAATAATCAAATACACATAAATACACAATTTGACAATCAATTAGCTAACTTAAAATTATATAATGACCAAACAAAACTGTTGATTAAGAGCATGTCAAACGTTAAATCAATTAAAGATAACACAGCAAAAGCTGATAAAGTTTACCGTCTTAAATACCAAATTGATCATATGGGCAAATTATTAGATAAAGTAAGAGACCTAATCTTGGCTTCCAAATTAAATATTCTCACTCGAGATATCCTGAGTGATGAAGAAATTAGAATATATAATATAACCATAGACAAAATGAAAGAAATTAAGATGAATTTAGCCTTTTACAAAAATAATATAGTATTTGTCTTAAAAGTACCCCAATATAATCCTAAAATATTCCAAGAAGTATATATCCAACCAATACCAAATAAAGAAAAAATGCAAATTAATATTGCAGAAAAATTGTATATCACAAAAGATAATAAAATTTATTATGATGTTAATAAAACACCAAATCTAAGGGAAGTTGAGGATGATTGTATATCCCATCTGTTTAATTACAAGCTCATGAAATGTCATTATATACAAAATACTAAACCAGAAGTTGTCGAGATTGGCTTAAATATTATAATTGCTATAAATATAATTGCTATAACAAATACCCATTAAAATTATCTGGAAATCACATGCTGATCATAGAAAATTGCAAAGTAAAATTGGACAAATGGTACAATAAAGTAATGTTTCAAAACATGTTAATAATTCCAAATCCCTACAGAGACATGCATATGATATATGATTCATATGATTCTTTAGAGGAAATACAGTATTAAAAATACCGTATTCATATCAGAAATAAAATTTGAACAGAAAGTAATTAATAACACATTAATAGTCTTGACAGCTGTAATTATACTTATTATAGCATTGTATCTGTATGCAAAATATAGATCAAGCACAGTAAAAGTAACTATGCCCTCCCCTCAGACTCTTCGGAACACGGAAAGAGTCTTCGTCCGGAGGTGTTATAACCCAAACCAAAATGCCTTTCCCATGACTTGGCAATATATTCATATTACAATTATCGTACCATCTGTCATTTAAAAAAAAGCCACACCCTTCTTGAAAATCACACAATCGATCGTATTTCAAATCATACGATCGAATCAAAAGACCAGTAGAATAATCATACAATCAAATCAAAAGACCAGTAGAATAATCATATTACAATAATCATACGATATATCTAAAATTAAAGTAAACAATTATGTATATTGCACTTATATTCACAAATAAAGATTCAGTTCTATTCTAGCATAAAACTTTAATTAACGTTTTATTTTGTTACGCGAGTTTCGCTAAAGGAAGAAAAACTCACTTTATTTTTTTTTTAAACACAGTCCTATTAAGAAGGATTAAAATTGGCGCAGTCGGTAGGTTTACCAAGATCGTTTGGTAGTCCGTGAAACTAAATTATACGTAAAAGGATAAGTCCTTCGTAACAGGACAAAATAATAAAGTGGAAATCCTATGTAAAAGGATAAGTCCTCCGGAAAGGGACAATAAACTTAGTGATTAAAGAAACAAGTTAACAAAATTACGTTAAAAATAGAGAATTAAAATACAATATAAATAAAATCAAAGAACATTTAATTAGGAAAAGTTAAAAGTGGACATCGCATCCTAATAAAAGAGAAATAAATTTCTTAAAGTTAACAAATTGTTAAAAATATAAGAAAGCAAATAATTACAATATACGAAATAATTACGAAACTTAAAAAGTGAAAGTGGTAAAACATTAGAAGAAAACTTAAAAACATTAAAAGACTTACAAATAGCCAAAAAATAGCAACGAAGTGAAATTTGGAACATTAATAAGATTATAACAAATTGAAACAAAATTAATAACACAAATCAACCAGCGCAAAACAACATACAATTACGTACGCTAGACATCAATCCCCTTACATATATTGAAAAATTAAGGGAATTTGATGGGAAGAAGGAAGACCTCACAACATTCATAACAAATGTAGATGACATAATTCCTACATTCATGTTATACAACAAACAAGCTCAAAGAATGTGTATGAACATCGTAAAATCAAAACTAACTGGAAAAGCCAGAAAAGCAATGGAGGTTCATCCCCATTTGACCCTTTGGACTGACATAAAAGCGACTTTGGTGGCTTTGCCACTGTGGACCAATTATATCAGAGATATCCTGAGTGATGAAGAAATTAGAATATATAATATAACCATAGACAAAATGAAAGAAATTAAGATGAATTTAGCCTTTTACAAAAATAATATAGTATTTGTCTTAAAAGTACCCCAATATAATCCTAAAATATTCCAAGAAGTATATATCCAACCAATACCAAATAAAGAAAAAATGCAAATTAATATTGCAGAAAAATTGTATATCACAAAAGATAATAAAATTTATTATGATGTTAATAAAACACCAAATCTAAGGGAAGTTGAGGATGATTGTATATCCCATCTGTTTAATTACAAGCTCATGAAATGTCATTATATACAAAATACTAAACCAGAAGTTGTCGAGATTGGCTTAAATATTATAATTGCTATAAATATAATTGCTATAACAAATACCCATTAAAATTATCTGGAAATCACATGCTGATCATAGAAAATTGCAAAGTAAAATTGGACAAATGGTACAATAAAGTAATGTTTCAAAACATGTTAATAATTCCAAATCCCTACAGAGACATGCATATGATATATGATTCATATGATTCTTTAGAGGAAATACAGTATTAAAAATACCGTATTCATATCAGAAATAAAATTTGAACAGAAAGTAATTAATAACACATTAATAGTCTTGACAGCTGTAATTATACTTATTATAGCATTGTATCTGTATGCAAAATATAGATCAAGCACAGTAAAAGTAACTATGCCCTCCCCTCAGACTCTTCGGAACACGGAAAGAGTCTTCGTCCGGAGGTGTTATAACCCAAACCAAAATGCCTTTCCCATGACTTGGCAATATATTCATATTACAATTATCGTACCATCTGTCATTTAAAAAAAAGCCACACCCTTCTTGAAAATCACACAATCGATCGTATTTCAAATCATACGATCGAATCAAAAGACCAGTAGAATAATCATACAATCAAATCAAAAGACCAGTAGAATAATCATATTACAATAATCATACGATATATCTAAAATTAAAGTAAACAATTATGTATATTGCACTTATATTCACAAATAAAGATTCAGTTCTATTCTAGCATAAAACTTTAATTAACGTTTTATTTTGTTACGCGAGTTTCGCTAAAGGAAGAAAAACTCACTTTATTTTTTTTTTTAAACACAGTCCTATTAAGAAGGATTAAAATTGGCGCAGTCGGTAGGTTTACCAAGATCGTTTGGTAGTCCGTGAAACTAAATTATACGTAAAAGGATAAGTCCTTCGTAACAGGACAAAATAATAAAGTGGAAATCCTATGTAAAAGGATAAGTCCTCCGGAAAGGGACAATAAACTTAGTGATTAAAGAAACAAGTTAACAAAATTACGTTAAAAATAGAGAATTAAAATACAATATAAATAAAATCAAAGAACATTTAATTAGGAAAAGTTAAAAGTGGACATCGCATCCTAATAAAAGAGAAATAAATTTCTTAAAGTTAACAAATTGTTAAAAATATAAGAAAGCAAATAATTACAATATACGAAATAATTACGAAACTTAAAAAGTGAAAGTGGTAAAACATTAGAAGAAAACTTAAAAACATTAAAAGACTTACAAATAGCCAAAAAATAGCAACGAAGTGAAATTTGGAACATTAATAAGATTATAACAAATTGAAACAAAATTAATAACACAAATCAACCAGCGCAAAACAACATACAATTACGTACGCTAGACATCAATCCCCTTACATATATTGAAAAATTAAGGGAATTTGATGGGAAGAAGGAAGACCTCACAACATTCATAACAAATGTAGATGACATAATTCCTACATTCATGTTATACAACAAACAAGCTCAAAGAATGTGTATGAACATCGTAAAATCAAAACTAACTGGAAAAGCCAGAAAAGCAATGGAGGTTCATCCCCATTTGACCCTTTGGACTGACATAAAAGCGACTTTGGTGGCTTTGCCACTGTGGACCAATTATATCAGGAACTGAGAGCAGCGCAGTATAAAGGAGATACTATGGATTTCTACAACCACATCCAACACAAACTAGCAATTCTTAACCAAAATTGTGGTCAGGAGAATCGATTGGATGAAGTGGATAGGAATATCCAAACTGGTCTGAAGACTTTTATAACACGTCTTCCAATCCATATGAGGACTGTATTATGCGCATTAAAACCAGAAAGTAAGGAGGAAGCTTTGCATGAATTGAGCTCTGCGGGATTCCTGAACAACGAAAAGAAGCAGGACAAACCACAATCAAGGACAAACCCAACAGCAACAACAGAATGGGCAACCAAAAATAATGCAGCCACATTACCACCAACAACAACATTGGCAACCAAAAATAATGCAGCCACATTACCATCAACAGCAACATTGGCAACCAAGGATAATGCAGCCACATTACCAACAACAACATTGGCAGCCGAGAATTGTACAACCAAATTTCCAGCAACAAGGATCGCAACAACCTTACTACAAGCCTCAGCAACCACAAATGAGACAACAGCCTCCAACATCATATCAACAAAAGCATGAATCAATGGATGTTGATGCATCTCAACAATCAAAAAGGCAGACACACCACCAGGAGCAGAAATCATGTAAGAATTTAGAAAGTATTAACAATAAAATAGATATAAGCGAAATGTATCAAGATGATTTGTATCAAGACAAT